TCTACCTTAAGGCTGTCCTCCTGGTCTCTGGGGTTCCATTGGGGTACTATTCATCTACCTTAAGGCTGTCCTCCTGGTCTCTGGGGTTCCATTGGGGTACTATTCATCTACCTTAAGGCTGTCCTCCTGGTCTCTGGGGTTCCATTGGGGTACTATTCATCTACCTTAAGGCTGTCCTCCTGGTCTCTGGGGTTCCATTGGGGTACTATTCATCTACCTTAAGGCTGTCCTCCTGGTCTCTGGGGTTCCATAGGGGTACTATTTATCTACCTTAAGGCTGTCCTCCTGGTCTCTGGGGTTCCACAGGGGTACTATTTATCTACCTTAAGGCTGTCCTCCTGGTCTCTGGGGATCCATTGGGGTACTATTCATCTACCTTCTTTCTTCTTCTCAGCTGGGGAAGATAATGCGTGGTCCCTTCCTGAAGTTTGTGGCCCATGCAGCTTCCTTCACCATCTTCCTGGGCCTGCTGGTGATGAATGCAGCGGACCGCTTCCAGGGTACCACCCTGCTCCCTAACATGACCGTACAGGACCACCCCTCTCAGCTGTTCAGGATGAAGACCACCCCCTTCACCTGGATGGAGATACTCATCATATCCTGGGTCATAGGTCATATACAAACTGTACATACTATGTTAATATTATGTATTATAATAAATATGATTGTGTATTTTCTGTAGTACATACATAACATACACATGCGAGCGAGCGCACACACACACACACGGACACACAGACACGGACACACACACGGACACACAGACACGGACACGGACACACACACACACACACACGGACACACAGACACGGACACGGACACGGACACACACACACGGACACACAGACACGGACACACACACAAGCATGCACGCACACACACATGCTCGCAGATACACTGAGTGTACAAAACATTTCCATGACAGACTGACCAGGTGAATCCAGGTGAAAGCTATGATCCCTTATTGATGTCACTTGTTAAATCCACTTCAATCAGTGTAGTTGAAGGGGAGGAGACAGGTTAAATAATTATTTTTAAGCCTTGAGACAATTGAGACATGGATTGTGTATGTGTGCCATTCAGAGGGTGAATGGGCAAGACAAAATATTTAAGTGCCTTTGAACGGGGTATGGTAGTAGGTGCCAGGCGCACCGGTTTGTGTCAAGAACTGCAACGCTGCTGGGTTTTTCATGCTCAACAGTTTCCTGTGTGTATCAAGAATGGTCCACCACCCAAAGGGCATCCAGCCAACTTGACACAACTGTGGGAAGCATTGGAGTCAACATGGGCCAGCATCCCTGTGGAACGCTTTTCGACACCTTGTAAAGTCAATGCCCTGACAAATTGAGGCTGTTCTGAGGGCAAAAATGTAACCAATCAGATTGCGTTGCTAGCACTAACCCTTTAATACCATTGAATTTAACAGTTAGCAAATGGTTCAACTCGATAAAAATTATAGTAATCTGCGTGTATCAAAGTAGATCAAAGGCCATTTTTAAAGCTTTCCCCCAAGCTGCACATATAACAAATCCTAGAGCCATTCTCAGATCGTGGTATTGAAGGTTACTTGATGAAACTGTCAAGGTCTGTCTGCCTCTGTGTGTCTTAAGGGCTAGGAACAGCAGAGCCATTTATGCTTTCATCTGACAACGCAAAGTAAAGTGGTCTGACTTGTACTGTTGTCAAATCAAGGATCTGTTGTCAAATCATTTTCTAATCCCTCTCCATGGTTGTTTTCCTACTGTAAATCAAAGTACAGTACATGTCATTGAGGACGATGTTGTTGAAATAGGGAAAACATTATTAGGATAGGCAATGTTAGTCACAAGTGGACCATTATTTAAGCAATAATGCCGGAACTCCCTACAAGGGCTGCCAGAGTCGAAGCCAAGGCCCGGGATACAGCCTTTGGAGGGAGGTTGTCACAAGATCATTCCCAGGTTCGAGGGCATTATTGCTTTTAGAAAACGGTTGCCAACATATTTATAAAAAATATGAATGACATGTTATAATTAAAAACATAATTTTAACGAGTAAATTCGTTTTTGCATTTTGAAGTTGCTACCCTAGCGGGCTGGTCGTTAGTTATTTTCTCGTGTTTTGACCCAGTCGTTAATTCGAATCATTCTATTCATTCGACGTTGCTACTGTATGCTAAACAAATCATTGGCATGTACCTAGCTAGCAGAGATTCAATGATGATGACAGACAATAACTTCAATAAATAATGATTTAATAACTATCCAATAGGCCGCAGTAAGTAGGTGTGCTGATGGCACTGCACTGGGCTTTACTAGTATTAGCAGATCAATATAGATTTTTTTTCTGAATCTCTGCTTTGGTATAAAAGTAGTTGTATAATTAAGAACAGTATCTTGCAGGATTCAATAGTTGGATCTGTAAGAGTTGTTTGCCCTGTCCCTTTCTGTAAGAGTTGTTGTCCTGTCCCTTTCTGTAAGAGTTGTTGTCCTGTCCCTTTCTGTAAGAGTTGTTGGCCTGTCCCTTTCTGTAAGAGTTGTTTGCCCTGTCCCTTTCTGTAAGAGTTGTTTGCCCTGTCCCTTTCTGTAAGAGTTGTTGCCCTGTCCCTTTCTGTAAGAGTTGTTGTCCTGTCCCTTTCTGTAAGAGTTGTTGGCCTGTCCCTTTCTGTAAGAGTTGTTGGCCTGTCCCTTTCTGTAAGAGTTGTTTGCCCTGTCCCTTTCTGTAAGAGTTGTTGCCCTGTCCCTTTCTGTAAGAGTTGTTGTCCTGTCCCTTTCTGTAAGAGTTGTTGGCCTGTCCCTTTCTGTAAGAGTTGTTTGCCCTGTCCCTTTCTGTAAGAGTTGTTGACCTGTCCCTTTCTGGAAGAGTTGTTGCCCTGTCCCTTTCTGTAAGAGTTGTTGTCCTGTCCCTTTCTGTAAGAGTTGTTGCCCTGTCCCTTTCTGTAAGAGTTGTTGCCTTGTCCCTTTCGCTGTGATTGTCATTCTAATGGAATCCAGAAATAACAAAATCCTTTCCTCAAACATTTACATCAAAAGGTGCAAAGTTATGGGCAAAGACACAAAACATCCACATCAAATTAAATATTTTTCTTGATCAAATTACATGGAAAACTACCACTTTTTGTGTAGTATTAATTTACCATCCTTACAAACCACTTAATATAAATGTACATTACTGTATTGTACAAAGGCTGGTCATTTAGAATTGGTACCTGTAGACTTTCCATCACCATGAAGAAGAAACAATGCACAATACAGTAATTGAGTACATTGAGACATTAAGTGGTTTGTGATGATGTGATATGAAGATGTGGCTCAGTTGGTTTGCACTCACAGTTGGATAAGAGCATCTACTAAAAGGAATGAATAGGCCATTTCAGTTAACACGTAGAAATAAGTTGCATTTGCAAAGTATTTCAAAAAACTGGAAAACATATATCAAGCAAGTATTTGTATATTCCACAAGTATTATCAGATTCAAGTTACAATTGTTGGTAAACACTCAAATACAAATACATTATTTTTTTTTTATATCACAAAGGTAGTGCATGATACGTTGTCCTCTGTAGCTCAGCTGGTAGAGCACGGCGCTTGTAACGTCAGGGTAGTGGGTTCGATCCCCGGGACCACCCATACGTAAAAATGTATGCGCACATGACTGTAAGTTGCTTTGGATAAAAGTGTCTGCTAAATGGCTTATTATTATTACAGTGGGGAAAAAAAGTATTTAGTCAGCCACCAATTGTGCAAGTTCTCCCACTTAAAAAGATGAGAGAGGCCTGTAATTTTCATCATAGGTACATGTCAACTATGACAGACAAAATTAGAAAAGAAATCCAGAAAATCACATTGTAGGATTTTTAATGAATTTATTTGCAAATTATGGTGGAAAATAAGTATTTGGTCACCTACAAACAAGCAAGATTTCTGGCTCTCACAGACCTGTAACTTCTTCTTTAAGAGGCTCCTCTGTCCTCCACTCGTTACCTGTATTAATGGCACCTGTTTGAACTTGTTATCAGTATGAAAGACACCTGTCCACAACCTCAAACAGTCACACTCCAAACTCCACTATGGCCAAGACCAAAGAGCTGTCAAAGGACACCAGAAACAAAATTATAGACCTGCACCAGGCTGGGAAGACTGAATCTGCAATAGGTAAGCAGCTTGGTTTGAAGAAATCAACTGTGGGAGCAATTATTAGGAAATGGAAGACATACAAGACCACTGATAATCTCCCTCGATCTGGGGCTCCACTCAAGATCTCACCCCGTGGGGTCAAAATGATCACAAGAACGGTGAGCAAAAATCCCAGAACCACACGGGTGGACCTAGTGAATGACCAGCAGAGAGCTGGGACCAAAGTAACAAAGCCTACCATCAGTAACACACTACGCCGCCAGGGACTCAAATCCTGCAGTGCGAGACGTGTCCCCCTGCTTAAGCCAGTACATGTCCAGGCCCGTCTGAAGTTTGCTTGAGTGCATTTGGATGATCCAGAAGAGGATTGGGAGAATGTCATATGGTCAGATGAAACCAAAATATAACTTTTTGGTAAAAACTCAACTCGTCGTGTTTGGAGGACAAAGAATGCTGAGTTGCATCCAAAGAACACCATACCTACTGTGAAGCATGGGGGTGGAAACATCATGCTTTGGGGCTGTTTTTCTGCAAAGGGACCAGGACGACTGATCCGTGTAAAGGAAAGAATGAATGGGGCCATGTATCGTGAGATTTTGAGTGAAAACCTCCTTCCATCAGCAAGGGCATTGAAGATGAAACGTGGCTGGGTCTTTCAGCATGACAATGATCCCAAACACACCGCCCGGGCAACGAAGGAGTGGCTTCGTAAGAAGCATTTCAAGGTCCTGGAGTGGCCTAGCCAGTCTCCAGATCTCAACCCCATAGAAAATCTTTGGAGGGAGTTGAAAGTCTGTGTTGCCCAGCGACAGCCCCAAAACATCACTGCTCTAGAGGAGATCTGCATGGAGGAATGGGCCAAAATACCAGCAACAGTGTGTGAAAACCTTGTGAAGACTTACAGAAAACGTTTGACCTGTGTCATTGCCAACAAAGGGTATATAACAAAGTATTGAGAAACTTTAGTTATTGACCAAATACTTATTTTCCACCATAATTTGCAAATAAAATCATAAAAATTCCTACAATGTGATTTTCTGGAGAAAAAAAATCTAATTTTGTCTGTCATAGTTGACGTGTACCTATGATGAAAGTTACAGGCCTCTCTCATCTTTTTAAGTGGGAGAACTTGCACAATTGGTGGCTGACTAAATACTTTTTTCCCCCACTGTATACGTTGTTGCAGACAGGTAGGTCTATACAACCCCCAACTTATGCAAATAAAATAGTAGCATGGAAAAATAATGTGGAGATGCTTTTTTTCCCGAGGGAGATTAAGTTTATGATTTTCCTGCCTTGGCTGCTGGATAGTGGAATTATGAGACATAACTTCTGCATATCAACCAATCAGCATCCAGAATGCAAAAAACCTGTTTTATAAAAATTATTATGTGGACAATTCTACAAACTTGTCTATTTTTTCCCCCATATAAAAGTAATATCATTATTCCCAATAGCCATACGGTAGCATCTATAGCAGGGATATTCAACTCTCACCCTACCAGGTCCGGACTACTGTTGGTTTCCTGTTAAACTCTCACCCTACCAGGTCTGGACTACTGTTGGTTTCCTGTTAAACTCTCACCCTACCAGGTCTGGACTACTGTTGGTTTCCTGTTAAACTCTCACCCTACCAGGTCTGGACTACTGTTGGTTTCCTGTTAAACTCTCACCCTACCAGGTCTGGACTACTGTTGGTTTCCTGTTAAACTCTCACCCTACCAGGTCTGGACTACTGTTGGTTTCCTGTTAACCTCTCACCCTACCAGGTCTGGACTACTGTTGGTTTCCTGTTAACCTCTCACCCTACCAGGTCCGGACTACTGCTGGTTTTCTCTTCTACCTGATCATTAATTGCACTCACCTGGGACATAAAGTAGAAGAGAACAGGGGAACTGGCTTTGTGGTCCAGATTTGAATTTCAGGGCTCTATATTAACCTGCCTGTTCCCTGTCATTAGTATATACCAGCCTGACTGTTCACTGTCATCAGTCTATACCAGCCTGACTGTTCCCTGTCATCAGTCTATCCCAACCAGCCTGACTGTTCCCTGTCATCAATTTGATGTGTCTTGTCTACATCCCATCATAGTGGAGGAAGGGAGATTCCCACACTGTCGTACTGAAATAGCCCTGTAGCAGAGGAGGGTCACAGAGGTCAAAGACAGAACACAGAGGGGCCGCAATACTGTAATCACTCTAACATATGTGACACCAAGAAATTCTTACACAGACTTTGATTAGTACAAGGTGAATAGTTATTTAACTAATAAACGATGTCTACTTCGATGGGGTCTAGGCAAAGATTACTTTTAAGTTTGACAAAAGCATTTAAAGCCATGTCTCTGTCACGTTCTACGACAGACAAGCAATGACATCACGTATGATGTGGGGGGGGGGGGGGGCAGAATAGAACGTGGATTGATACCAAATGTACGCTACACATACTGGCAGACATCAACTATGTCTGTCTATGTCGATGGGATCTGGGAAAGGTGACACGTTTAATTGAATGTAAAGCATTCATGTGATAGTCAAGTCTCTCTAACATATGATTACATACTCAGGGCCATCACACCTGAGATAGCTGTACTGTTGGCCAGTACCTCTCAATACTAGGCCTATCCACAGGGCTACTTACTGTATAAGAACATAGGCTTTCTGATCAAAAGCACATGAGGTACTCCGGGCAGAGTGAAATGTGATTGGGGGTACAGTAAAATAATAAATAAAAGGTTGAAGACCATTAATGAGTCCTTTCCATCATAGCCTGCTCTGTTCTGGGCAGTCTACACTTCTCTTCTGTCCAGCTCATTCCAACACATGCTGCTGTTCTTCAGAGTCTTACGTTTTATGACAGCAATTACATTTAATTTGGGGGGCAAAGTTAATACAATATACTGGGACCACATTAGTCTGTTTTTATATACTGGGACCACATTAGTCTGTTTTTATATACTGGGACCACATTAGTCTGTTTTTATATACTGGGACCACATTAGTCTGTTTTTATATACTGGGACCACATTAGTCTGTTTTTATATACTGGGACCACATTAGTCTGTTCTTATATACTGGGACCACATTAGTCTGTGTTTATATACTGGGACCACATTAGTCTGTTTTTATATACTGGGACCACATTAGTCTGTGTTTATATACTGGGACCACATTAGTCTGTTTTTATATACTGGGACCACATTAGTCTGTGTTTATATACTGGGACCACATTAGTCTGTTTTTATATACTGGGACCACATTAGTCTGTGTTTATATACTGGGACCACATTAGTCTGTTTTTATATACTGGGACCACATTAGTCTGTTCTTATATACTGGGACCACATTAGTCTGTTTTTATATACTGGGACCACATTAGTCTGTTTTTATATACTGGGACCACATTAGTCTGTTTTTATATACTGGGACCACATTAGTCTGTGTTTATATACTGGGACCACATTAGTCTGTGTTTATATCCTGGGACTATTTTGACCAGATCACTACTGGAGAGTGAGAGCCCTATACATAGGGTGCCATTTGTGACGCAGATATACGTCATTCTGACATGTTGTTGTTTTTCCCTCTCTTCTTCCAGGGATGGTCTGGGCTGAGTGTAAGCAGCTGTGGTCCAAGGGAGCTCGGGAATATCTGTTGGAGACATGGAATCTTCTAGACTTTGGAATGCTGGGCCTTTTCGTGACGTCCTTCATCACTAGATTAATGGCGTTCTGGCATGCGTATGCAGCACAGAGCTACGTCGACAAGCACTATACCGACCTGTCCAACATTACCCTGTCCCCAGAGATAGAGTACTACAGACTGGGTAGGTGAAGACAGAAACCTGTCCAACATTACCCTGTCCCCGGAGATAGAGTACTACAGACTGGGTAGGTGAAGACAGAAACCTGTCCAACATTACCCTGTACCCAGAGATATAGTACTACTGACTGGGTGAGCGCAGACAGAACATTTACTTTTAAATAATTCATTTAAATACAAAAAACTCTGCTAGGGAGGCTGGTCAAGGTTGCATTATATCAGTAACATTTCACAGCCTGGTCCCAGATCTGTTGGTGCTCTTGCCAACTCCATTGCTCATTGTCAAGCCAAATGGAAACATACCGGCACCCAAGCTAGAAATCTCACTGTGCATGTTATTCACGACAGTAGAATAAATATTAAAGTCAAATGAAAAATGAACCTTTGCCCCAGACAAAATATTGACATCCAGGTATGTTTATGAGGTGCTGGAGTTCTCGGTCACTTCATCACAAATCTAAAAACTGCTGCACATGCTCCCTTTGCATAGACCCAATCGAAGTAGACATGTATTTATATATATATTTATATGTTAAATAACTATTCACCTTGTACTAATCAACGTCCGTGTGGTCATTTCTTGGAGTCACATACACTACTGGTCAAAAGTTTTAGAACACCTACTCATTCAAGGGGTTTTTCTTTATTTTTAGAATAATAGTGAAGACATCTAAACTATGAAACAACACATATGGAATCATGTAGTAACCCAAAAAGTGTTAAACAAATCAAAATATATTTTATATTTGAGATTCTTCAAATTGCCACCCTTTGCCTTGATGACAGCTTTGCACACTCTTGGCATTCTCTCAACCAGCTTGACCTGGAATGCTTTTCCAACAGTCTTGAAGGAGTTCCCACAAATGCTGAGCACTTGTTGGCTGCTTTTCCTTCACTCTGCGGTCCAACTCATCCCAAACCATCTCAATTTGGATGAGGTCGGGGGATTGTGGAGGCCAGGTCATCTGATGCAGCACTCCATCACTCTCCTTCTTGGTCAAATAGCCCTTACACAGCCTGGATGTGTGTTGGGTCATTGTCCTGTTGAAAAACAAATGATAGTCCCACTAAGCCCAAACCAGATGCGATGGCGTTTCGCTGCAGAATGCTGTGGTAGCCATGCTGGTTAAGTGTGCCTTAAATTCTAAATAAATCACAGACAGTGTCACCAGCAAAGCACCGCCACACCATAACACCTCCTCCTCCATGCTTTACGGTGGGAACTACACATGCGGAGATCATCCGTTCACCCACACCGCATCTCACAAAGACACGGCGGTTAGAACCAAATATCTCCAATTTGGACAAATTTCCACCGGTCTAATGTCCATTGCTCGTGTTTATTGGCCCAAGCAGGTCTCTTCTTCTTATTGGTGTCCTTTAGTAGTGGTTTCTTTGCCGCAATTTGACCATGAAGGCCTTTTCACACAGTACCTCTAAACAGTTGATGTTGAGATGTGTCTGTGACTTGAACTCTGTGAAGCATTTATTTTGGTTGCAATTTCTGAGGCTGGTAACTCTAATGAACTTATCCTCTGCAGCAGAGGTAACACTGGGTCTTCCATTCCTGTAGCAGTCCTCATGAGAGCCAGTTTCATCATATCGCTTGATGGTTTTTGCGACTGCACTTGAAGAAAGTTTCAAAAGTTCTTGACATTTTCCGGATTGACTGACCTCCTGTCTTAAAGTAATGATGGACTGTCGTTTCTCTTTGCTTATTTGAGCTGTTCTTGCCATAATATGGTATTTTACCATATAGGGCTATCTTCCGTATACCCCCACTACCTTGTCACAACACAACTGATTGGCTCAAATGCATTAAGAAGGAAAGAAATTCCACAAATTAACTTTTAAGAAGGCACACCTGTTCATTGAAATGCATTCCAGGTGACTACCTCATGAAGCTGGTTGAGAGAATGCCAAGAGTGTGTAAAGCTGTCATCAAGGCAAAGGGTGGATATTTGAATTATCTTTTTTGGTTACTACATGATTCCTTATGTGTTATTTTATAGTTTTGATGTCTTCACTATTATTCTACAATGTAGAAAATAGTAAAAATATAGAAAAACCCTTGAATGAGTAGGTGTTCTAAAACTTTTGACCGGTAGTGTATGTTAGAGTGATTACAGTATTGCGGCCCCTCTATGATTTGACCTCTGTGACCTTCCTCTGCTACAGGGCTATTTCAGTACGACAGTGTGGGAACCTCCCTCCCTCCACTATGATGGGATGTAGACAAGCCCAAATCAGAGCAATGAGGAGGCATAGAAGGACCATGAAGAATGAAGAGCCAATAGAAGCAAAGAAGGGACAATAGAAGAACAATAGAAGGAAAACATAGAAGAGGCAATAGATGAGCATAGAAGGAGCAATGAAGGTAATTAGGGAGACAATAGAAGTGGCAATCGAAGGAGACAATAGAAGAACAATAAATGAGGCAATAGAAGGATAATAGAAGGAAACATAGAAGGAGGCAATAGAATAGGCAATAGAGCCTAAATGAGGCAATAGAAGGAGACAATAGAAGAGCAATAGAGAGACAATAGAATGAGCAATAGAATGAGGCTAGAGGGACAATAGAAGGAGACATAGAAGGAGCAATAAATTAGGCAATAGAGGATGCAATAGAATGATGCAATAAAGGAGACAATAGAAGAGCAATAAGGACAATAGAAGGAAACAATAGAAGGACAATATAAGGATACATAGAAGGAAACAACCAGAATAGGAGACAATATGAAGGAGACAATAGAGGAGGCAAACCGAAGGAGGCAATAGGAAGGAGACAATAGAAGGAGGCAATAGAATGGAGTCCAATAGAAGGAGACAATAGAGGAGAACAGAATGAGCAATTTAGAAGGAGAAAGAAGGATACAATAGCAAGGAGGCAATAGAATGAGGCAATAGAAGGAGGACAATAGAACGGAGACAACTAGAAGGAGACAAATAGAATGGAGACAACGAGACGAGAGACAATAGATGAGGCAATAGAAGGATACAATAGAAGGAACCAATAGAAGGAGGACAATAGAATGAGGCAATAGAATGAGGCATTATTTCTAAAAGAGTAAATTTTGTTTCTTTGGTTTTCTGTTTTGTTTATTCATTTGACCAGGAACCATGTACAGTCGTGGGTCAAAACGTTTTGAGACTGACACAAGTATTTGGTCTTCACAAAGTTTGCGCTATCAGGTGGTTATTGAGATATTTTGTCAGATGTTACTATGGTATTACTGAAGTATAAATACAAGCATTCCATAAGTGTCAAAGGCTTTTATTGACAATTACATTAAGTTTATGCAAAGAGTCAATATTTGCAGTGTTGACCCTTCTTTTTCAAGACCTCTGCAATCCGCCCTGGCATGCTGTCAATTAACTTCTGGGCCACATCCTGACTGATGGCAGCCCATTCTTGCATAATCAATGCTTGGAGTTTGTCAGAATTAGTGGGTTTTTGTTTGTCCACCCGCCTCTTGAGGATCGACCACAAGTTCTCAATGGGATTAAGGTCTGGGGAGTTTCCTGGCCATGGACCCAAAATGTTGATGTTTTGTTCCCCGAGCCACTTAGTTATCACTTGTGCCTTATGGCAAGGTGCTCCATCATGCTGGAAAAGGCATTGGTCGTCACCAAACTGTTCTTGGATGGTTGGGAGAAGTTTCTCTCGGAGGATGTGTTGGTACCATTCTTTATTCATGGCTATGTTCTTAGGCAAAATTGTGAGTGAGCCCACTCCCTTGGCTGAGAAGCAACCCCACACATGAATGGTCTCAGGATGCTTTACTGTTGGCATGACACAGGACTGATGGTAGCGCTCACCTTGTCTTCTCCGGACAAGCTTTTTTCCGGATGCCACAAACAATCAGAAAGGGGATTCATAAGAGAAAATGACTTTACCCCAGTCCTCAGCAGTCCAATCCCTGTACCTTTTGCAGAAAATCAGTCTGTCCCTGATTTTCCTGGAGAGAAGTGGCTTCCTCGCTGCCCTTCTTGACACCAGGCCATCCTCCAAAAGTCTTCGCCTCACTGTGCGTGCAGATGCACTCACACCTGCCTGCTGCCATTCCTGAGCATGCTCTGCACTGGTGGTTCCCCGATTCCGCAGCTGAATCAACTTTAGGAGACGGTCCTGACGGTCCTTGCTGGACTTTCTTGGCGCCTTGAAGCCTTCTTCACAACAATTGAACCTCTCTCCTTGAAGTTCTTGATGATCCGATAAATGGTTGATTTAGGTGCAATCTTACTAGCAGCAATATCCTTGCCTGTGAAGCCCTTTTTGTGCAAAGCAATGATGACGGCACGTGTTTCCTTGCAGGTAACCATGGTTAACAGAGGAAGAACAATGATTTCAAGCACTACCCTCCTTTTAAAGCTTCCAGTCTGTTATTCTAACTCAATCAGCATGACAGAGTGATCTCCAGCCTTGTCCTCGTCAACACTCTCACCTGTGTTAACGAGAGAATCACTGACATGATGTCAGCTAGTCGTTTTGTGACAGAGCTGAAATGCAATGGAAATGTTTTTGAGGGATTAAGTTCATTTTCATGGCAAAGAGGGACTTTGCAATTAATTGCAATTCATCTGATCACTCTTCATATCATTCTGGAGTATATGCAAATTGCCATCATAAAAACTGAGGCAGCAGACTTTGTGAAAATTTATATTTGTGTCATTCTCAAAACTTTTGACCACGATTGCAGAAAAGACACATCAAACTGAGATTGAGCAACACTTCTCATAATAATAATATGCCATTTAGCAGACATTTTCATCCAAAGCGATTTACAGTCATGCGTGCATACATTTTTAGGTATGGGTGGTCCCGTGGATCGAACCCACTACCCTGGCGTTACAAGCACCATGCTCTACCAATTGAGCTACAGAGGACCAGATCTCCATGGAGAAAGTTTGCAATGATACTGCCTGATCCATGTGGCGGCCCTCTCTCTCTCTCTTTTCTCTCTCTCTCTCTCTCTCTCTCCTCTCTCGATCTCTTCTTCTCTCTCTATCTATCTCTCTCTCTCTCGCTCTCTATCTCTCTATCTCTCTCTCCTATCTCTAGTCTCTATCTTGTGTCATCTATAATCTCTCCTCTCTGTTCTCTCTCGTTTTATATTCTCTGCCTCTCTCTGCTCCCTCTCTCTCTCTCCTCTCTGTCTCTCTTCTCTCTCTCTGCTTTCTCTCTTGCTCTCTCTCTCTCTCTCCTATCTCCTCTCGCTCCGTCCTCTCTATCTGTCTCTCTCTCTCTCGCTTTCTCCCTCTCTCTCTGCTCTCTGTCTCTCTCCCCTTCTCAATTCAATTCAATTCAATTCAATTCAATTCAATTCAATTTAAGGGCTTTATTGGCATGGGAAACGTATGTTAACGTTGCCAAAGCAAGTGAAGTAGATAATAAACAAAAGTGAAATAAACAATAAATATTAACAGTAAACATTACACTCAGAAGTTTCAAAAGAATAAAGACATTTCAAATGTCATATTATGTTATATACAGTGTTGTAACAATGTGCAAATAGTTAAGTACAAATGGGAAAATAATCAACATAAATATGGGTTGTATTTACAATGGTGTTTGTTCTTCACTGGTTGCCCTTTTCTTGTGGCAACAGGTCTCAAATCTTCCTGCTGTGATGGCACACTGGTAGTAGATAAGTAGATAAGGGAGTTTATCAACATTGGGTTTGTTTTTTGAATTCTTTGTGGATCGCTGTAATCTGAGGGAAATATGTGTCTCTAATATGGTCATACATTTGGCAGGAGGTTAGGAAGTGCAGCTCAGTTTCTACCTCATTTTGTGGGCAGTGTGCACATAGCCTGTCTTTTCTTGACAGCCAGATCTGCCTACGGCGGCCTTTCTCAATAGCAAGGCTATGCTCACTGAGTCTGTACATAGTCAAAGCTTTCCTTAAATTAGTCATCACAGTGGTCAGGTATTCTGCCACTGTGTACTCTCTGTTTAGGGCCAAATAGCATTCTAGTTGCCCTGTTATTTGTCAATTCTTCCAACGTGCCAAGTCTTTCTGTTTCTCATGATTTGGTTGGGTCTAATTGTGTTGCTGTCCTGGGGCTCTTGGGGTCTGTTGTGTTTGTGAACAGAGCCCAGGACCAGCTTGCTTAGGGGACTCTTCTCAAGTTCATCTTCTGTAGGTGATGGCTTTGTTATGGAAGGTTTGGGAATCGCTCCTTTTAGGTGGTTGTAGAATTTAACGTTCTCTTTCTGGATTTGATCTAGCGGGTTTCGGCCTAATTCTGCTCTGCAGCATATTGATGTTTTACGTTGTACACAGAGGATATTTTTGCAGAATTGCATGCAGAGTCTCAATTTGGTTGTTGTCCATTTGTGAATCTTGGTTGGTGAGCGGACCCAGACCTCACAATCATAAAGGGCAATGGGTTCTATAAGATTCAAGATTTTTAGCAGATTCCTAATGGTTGTCTAATTTTATGTTCCTTAGTCGTAGAAGGCCACCTTCTTGCATTGTCTTCAGATCGTTCACATCTTTGTGCGTGTGTACTATCCGGTTACTGTAATCATCTCTCTCTCTCTTTCTCTCTCTCTCTCTCTCATTTCTCTCTCTCTCCTCTCTCTCTCTCTCTCTTTTCCCCTCTCCCTTTTTCTCCTCTCTTTTCTCTCTCTCCTCTCTCTCTCTCTCCCCTCTCTTTCTCTCTCTCTCTCTCAGCCCGTAATAACTGGGTTTCCCTCGGGACCCCCAGATAATTCAGAGGGTTTTTATTCCATCGCTGGGTCCTGAGCTTTCTTCGCATTGCGTACATCCTCCCCGCTAATGAGAGTTTCGGGCCCCTGCAGATATCCTGGGAAGGACAGTGAAAGACTCTTTAAGTTCATGGTGATCTTCATCATGGTTTTGTGCCTTCCTGTTTGGAATGTTCAATCTCTACTCAATAAACCCGGGAGCCAAGAAGAATAACGCCTTCACCACGTGAGTATGTAATTATGGAGGAAATGGATACATACATTTCCTTTGGAAAATATTCGCCCCCTTTACCTTTTTCCCATTTTGTAGTTACGTTTTTTCTTTTTTTAAAATTTATAAAAAACCCCA